GCATTGTCTCTCCAACTATAAAGGGAAAAGCAGGACTTCAGAAGATCCTTGCGCCATTCTTTCAATCACATTACTGGTTTTAAAGTCAGTTGAGATTGACGTTTCTTTAAAAGAAATTTTTTTAGTCTTAAGTATTATACTGAAGTAAGTATAAGAAAGTTTATCGGATGAATCCACGGGCGGATCTACGGGGGGGAGGGGAGGCTTCAGTCCGAAAGCTAAAATATAACCATGTTTTATCGAAAAAAATATTTTAAAAGTATCTCTTAAAGTATTATTGTTCGTGTAATTACATTTAAAAGGGCTTTAGGAATCACTTAAACACCATTTCATACAGGTAGTTAGATTCTTTCTTTTTTTCCTAAGTAATTATCGTTATTTTTATGAAAAAAAGAACTTTCGGGATGAAGCTCCCGCCCAAAATTAAATCCTGGATCCGCTAGTGGATGAATCTAATTTAATATTATTATTTTCATCTTAAGTAAGATTCATTTTTAACCCATGTTATTTTAATGACTTATTAGTAGCAATCTCCGCTATTCATAATACAGAAGTATTGATTCATTTTCTGACTCAAGAGCGATGGATTTTGATAAATGAGGTTTCAAACGAAAGTTAATTTCATGAAAAATTGACGAATACCAATTTTGATCCTTAAATCCCTCCTTCAACTTTAGTAAATCATTTATTTTTAATCAGTAAGATAACCAATGTGTTTTTTTTTTTTAAATGTAAGATAGAATAGGGCGGGCGATGTTCACTCACAAGAATGTTGATAGAAATTGATACTTTTTACATCAATATTCGTAATAAAAAAACATTAAAACAAACTCTAATAGGAGGAACTGAATATTATAAAAAATAAAAACGAAGATAGAAATAGATAAACACGAAACAATACTTTTTTATTTGAAATCATTTTTTTCAAGGGTTCTTTTATTACTTTTACTTACTCATTACTCATTTTACTCATTACTTTTCAAGGGGAGATCCGTCCGGGGCTCCAAATAGACGTAGACGTAATAATAATCATTTGTAGAAATATTTCATATATAGTAACTCAAATTTTAGACCGAGTAAAATTTATCGCCATAAAACATATATATATATATATATTTTTTTTTTATTTATTTATTTTTTTTTATTTTATTATCTTTCAAATCATTCATGTTGTCAAGTAAATGAATTCAATTCAAGTCCTGCATCCTAAATATGTTGAATAGATAAGTCTAACTTCCATTGAATCTCCAAATTAAGTTAAGAATGGATAGCAAAGCTGGTTTAAATAGAAGCGGGAAAAATCCATGAACATCGCCGTTCGCGATTAATAGCTCATTTTGGTCTAATCTCTAAAACGCGTGATTATAAGTTATAAGTTCACATATATCTTAATGTTCATCAGAGCAAGTCATCAAAAAATAAAATAAAATATAGAGAACATCGTGAAGTTAAAATTAAATCAAGTAGATAACCCAAATAAAAACAGCAACGATAATAATTTTATTCAAAATATTAAAACTAAAAGAATGATAATTTACTAGAAAAAGTTGAATACTGTTGCTATGAATGTTAACATAAACATTAACATTATTAATATAGATATTAATAATTTCACAAAAAAAAAACCGTTAGCCATTGAATACAGGCGTTTCAACAAGGATAAATATAGCCTCCTATAATAATAATCTCATACAGGGTAATCATTGATTTCATTCAATACAAGTAATTAATATCAAATTAAATGTATGAACAATTAATTATCTTACATATATTATTATTATTATAACTTACGTTTGAGTGGGTAGCAACTAGCACAGACTTGGACAATTGGTGACTGACACGTTGGCCAACTTGAGTTTTCTAATATATAAAATGGTACTTCATTTTCATTTCGCTACCGAGAAATATTCTCAAAAATAAAAACTCATAAAACGTGAAGTAAATAATTTGTGAATTATACATTTTGTAATTTTCAGTCATTCAGAGACATATCACTAGTGGATACAGAATTTTGGGGGGCTTCCGCCCGAAAACTTATTTTTTATATAACGATAATTATTGTGAAAAAAAAAAGAAAGAAACTAAATAGCTATATGAAATATCGTTAAAGTTGTTCTTTAATTCCTATTAAACGTTATTACATATTGATTTTATTTCAGTATTCTTTCATGTAATACAGATGATACAGAATTTTAATTATTGTTTTCATAAAAGTTATAACATGATAATATAGAAGAGAGTAGGTAATACAAATACGATGTGTATACATCTCATTATTAAATATTCATGAGGAATATTATTCCATGCACTAGCGGATCCAGAATTTAATTTGGGGGGGGCTTGAGCCCGAAACCTTTTTTTTTTTTTTATAAAAATAACGATAATTACTTTGGAAAAACAAAAAGAAACTAACTACCTATATGAAATGATGTTTAAGTTATTCCTTAAGTAATATTAAATGTAATTACACGAAGAATAATACTTTAAGAGGTATTTTTTAAATTTTTTTTAATAAATAATAAATTTGTATTAAAAGTAAATTTATGGCTTTCTAAATACAACAAAGAAAGCTCTGCTTCATATTGTTTTTCTTATTCTCAGTCTTGTGTAAAGTGTTGAAATATGTTATTTATCCCAAATGTTTTACTTTTGGTTACATGTTTTCCACAGCTATCTACACAACAAAACACCAGTCTGTAGTAAATGTCATTGGTAAATTCAACAATATATTTCAACAGCAAGGCTTTTGACATTTGACATTTACAGGCCGCCTCCCTCTGGAATTCCATCCCTGCTGATATTCGACACGCTCAATCAGTTTCCTCTTTTAAACCTCTCCTCTTTAAGCACCTACTCCTTTCTCAATCCGAATGATTGTGAAATATATCTAGAAGAAATATCTGAGCACCACCAGAGACTACCTCAATTTATTAAGGTTATTTTAGTTTCTCATATATATATGTACAATTTACTTGTTCTTTTCTTTCTCTTTTCAGTATTTTTATCTTGAGTCACCTTTTATTGTAAATATACAATTTAATTGTAACCACACAGACATACAATCTGTATTTATATTTTGTTCTTAAGGGACAACAGTCCCAGAATAATAAAACATTTTTTCATTTAACAAAATAAATTCACCAGCATGTCTCGACAATCAATAAACCACTTTAGAACTTCATGGTAAATCTAATTAGATAAAATTTCCAGCTCAGGCACATGTGACGGTTTATTACTAAAAAATTCACTGAATTTCTTGTTCACGTGTTAAGATATGAAATGAAATAAAAATGAAAAAATAATTTTATTCTGGGATTACAGTCCTCTAAGAATAACAGAGTTACATAATTAAGAACATTAGTCTGGCTTAGATGAATACAATATGATGCCTAATTAACTGATAATTGTTATTGCAATTGTGCAGTTGATTGAGTTAGACTTTGTACAGACGCAAGTGAATTTTACATTTGCGGAAGTTTGAATATGGAGTAGGTGGTGGAACAGTTGTTTGAAGGAATTTGTGGACGAAGATTGACGTATGGAGTAGGTGGTGGAACAGGAGTTGTTTGTAGGAATTTGTGGACGAAGATTGACGTATGGAGTTAGGTAGAGAGTTCCAAAAGGAGACAGCACGAATGACGAAAGATTTTCTGAAGGAAGTAGTTCTGAGGGGATATATAAATCTATAGGTTGAGATCTGGTATTGAGAGAGTGGGCATAGTAATGTAAAGTAAGAAGTTCCAGGATGTAGAGGTTTTTGGTTCTGAGGACTTGGAAAGGAAAACACCAAGGAGGAATTGTCGTCAGAAAGTAGGATAAAACCAGTTCAACTCGTGTACCTGAATGAAACATGGGGGCTAAAGATGTATTTTATGAAACAGTTCATGAGCTTCTTTATTCTTATTTCTAGCCTGCCAAATAGTTCTCCATATACCAAGCAGCCGTAGTCGAAGTGGGGAATATGAGAGAGGTTACAAGGAACTGTCTGGTTTTTAGAGGAATACAATCACGGAATCTTAGGAGTTGTTTATTACATAAAATACCTCCATTCTCTTTGTTCTCGATATTTTAATTCTGAATATGAATTTTCTTTGTTGTTTATTTATATATGATAATATATAACCAATATATATATATATATATATATATATATATATATATATTGGTTATATATTATCATATATAACCAACTCTCCAAATATGTAAAATAAAAAAGCTTAGTTTGTTTGTAAATTATATGAAATTTAAAATAAACTGTCAAAGAAAGGTATATAGGGCTTGGAAAAAGATAAGAAAATACAAGAAAATCGGGTCCCAAGTTATGATTATTTCTATGTTCGACTAATGTTTCTCCAAAAATTATCTCTTCAAATATTGAAAAAATTATATCAGTAAAAAAATGTATTAGTTCTTTAGATTCATTCAACATTTTATTGAATGGAACTGCTCATAAATAGAAGTTTTTGAAGAAAAAAATATGATATGAATGCTGAGGTAATCACAAATTGAATATAAATAATATATATATATATATATATATATATATATATATATATATATATTGGTTATATATTATCATATATACCCAACTCTCCAAATATGTAAAATAAAAAAGCTTAGTTTGTTTGTAAATTATATGAAATTTAAAATAAACTGTCAAAGAAAGGTATATAGGGCTTGGAAAAAGATAAGAAAATACAAGAAAATCGGGTCCCAAGTTATGATTATTTCTATGTTCGACTAATGTTTCTCCAAAAATTATCTCTTCAAATATTGAAAAAATTATATCAGTAAAAAAATGTATTAGTTCTTTAGATTCATTCAACATTTTATTGAATGGAACTGCTCATAAATAGAAGTTTTTGAAGAAAAAAATATGATATGAATGCTGAGGTAATCACAAATTGAATATAAATAATATATATATATATATATATATATATATATATATATATATATATATATATATATTGGTTATATATTATCATATATAACCAACTCTCCAAATATGTAAAATAAAAAAGCTTAGTTTGTTTGTAAATTATATGAAATTTAAAATAAACTGTCAAAGAAAGGTATATAGGGCTTGGAAAAAGATAAGAAAATACAAGAAAATCGGGTCCCAAGTTATGATTATTTCTATGTTCGACTAATGTTTCTCCAAAAATTATCTCTTCAAATATTGAAAAAATTATATCAGTAAAAAAATTTATTAGTTCTTTAGATTCATTCAACATTTTATTGAATGGAACTGCTCATAAATAGAAGTTTTTGAAGAAAAAAATATGATATGAATGCTGAGGTAATCACAAATTGAAAAAAAATAATACCTACATTTCAGAATGTATTAAAATCAAAATGTATAGTTCAATAATAACTGACAGTAATTTTAATCAGTAAATTCAATAAATGAAAATAATCTTTAACTACACAAATATTATCTTTAACTAAATTTCAGAATTAAAAAAGTAAAATACTGGAATGTGAAATGAAATAATTGCAACTATCAAAACAAATAGATTATAACATTTCTTTCTGTTGGATTTACTTACATTATGTAAATATGCTATAAATAGTTCAAAAACATGATAGTCCTCCAATTTTATAAATAATAAAGCCAATGGTTTAGTTATTGCTAATTTTTTTAGCATCACATATAAAGTCGATGTAATTTCATTTAACTTTGAATACTTTTATAAGTAACTGTATCGGGTAAAACATTAAGAAATAAAGTAATCTGCTTTGTCTCGTATTATACAGGAGAAATACTCAAACCTATTGTATTTCATAGTTACTTAAATCAGGAGTTCTTAACTACGATGTGAATTCGCTTTGTGGACATGGAAGAAACCCAGAACCATGGAAGCATTTTTAAAATTGTGTTTGTTGTAATAACTACAATTGTATACCAAAAAATTTCTCTTTTACTTTTTAAATAAAAGATATTTTTAAAAAGATTCAAATTAAATTTATTCCTCTATTATTACATCAATTAACAGATAATTATTTTTTGTCTATGAAATGACAAGATAGCAGGAACACACAATAAAGAATTTAAGAACTCCTGATTTATACCAATTAACCACCACTGACAAATCTTATAAAGTGTAACAAAATCATCAAAGTTTTAGATAAAAGAAAAAAATATATATTCGATCAGTATATTAATTTTATATTACAAGGTTTAATTAATTTTTATAAAAACATCAAACGTAATTTTAATTATTATGCTGTGGTTTAGACCAATCAGCATTAAGAATAAGATGGTCATAACCATGCCCATTCAATGTGGCAATAGCAGCTGCAGCGGCAGACCGTGATTTGAAATGTATGTAGGCAAAACCTTTACAAAGGCCAGTGGATTTGTCCTTAGCTAAGAAGAGTTTGTTGTAATCTCCAAAAGGTTTCACTAACTCCTCCAAATCTGCTTCCTAAAAAACAAAAAAATAACAACTATTGAGTAAAATTACGAATATAATTCTTTAAAGCTTCTTCCATAGGTTTCAATCATATCTGTGTACTGGCTATTTCTTCCATTCGGTACATTTTTATCATTTCTAATATTATGTTCACTATCAGTTTCTGTGATAAAATCGCCTGGAATATTTCACTAAACATTAGAACAAAAGAGATACCCATTGGGAAAAAAGGCCAGAACAACTAATATAAAAGCATGGATTCAATCCTTAAAAGTATAAAATCAATACTGAAAAGTGAACAAGAAAAATATCAAGATATTAATAAAGCAAAAATTGTGAACACTGTTTGATATATTGTATTACCTGAGTATCCTGAATATGAAATAGACAAATACATAAAATGCAGACTATAACTGTTAATATGACCCAGAATTAGATAGATGGCAGGCCAAGGAAAAACACACAGCACTAGCAAGGCGAGGCTGCAGTCAGTGGATCACCCATTTCAACTAATTTTTTTCGATGATACTAAGTTACAATGACTACAACTATGTTTTGTTACAATGAGCTCCAGAAGGCGAGAAATTTAAATAATTTTGTATCATTTAAAACAAAATTTATGTTATTTGGAACCAAGAAAAATATATTTCATATAATTTCAAACAAAATTTGTTATTTATTTTTGCTTTTCCCTAGTCAGGATTTTTAGGTTACTATATATCAAACGATTTATTTTTTCGTGCAAAATAAGAAAAAAACATTGATTATTGTATTAAATGAGTTACAATGTATCATAAATTACAAAAACGAAAAGACTCTTCCAGTAAATTAGGCCAAGTAAATTTTTGTTTAGAAAAAGCAGGTAATATTCGTTATAAGTTTCCTTCAAAACTGTCAAATACGAACTTTTATATACATAAAAAAATGACACCTTTAATACTTGATTTTCTCGGATGATTTTTTTTTCTTTTTTTTTCCAGCCTTCAACTATAAAATTCATAACTCCTTAGGATTTTCTTTGATTTATTCACCCAATTATTCGAATAATACAACCATTGGAGAGCAATATTACTGCTCTTTGAACTGACATCAATTACTTTTGGATTTTATTCCTTTGTAACCTAGATATTAAGAAAAACTTCTAACCCATTTTTATTTTATACAGTAGCATACAGAGACCTAAATCCGTAATAGTTTTCGTGTGGATCAAAGGAGCCATTCGAAAGTTATCACAAGGTTCAGCCTAAGCAAAAATTTCAAGCAAAAAATTTTAATTAATCAATTGCTATAAAAATTCATATTCGAGTGTATGTTGAGGTGCAAAAAATGAATATCAAATTTGTTTTTACATAAAAAAATATTTATGCCCACATTGCTACGACGGTTGGTCCAAATTGTGCCCATACTGTGGCTGTCTGGCAACGTAATATTTATTCAAAACTTGTCTGGTATCTAGATTAAATATATTTTTAGGGAGAAACAAATTACAAATTCTGTGCCTAGGCTGGATTCAACAAAATTTAGTAGATAACCACAAAAATTGAGATAACTTTCGAACAGCTTCACCGATCCACACAAAAACTATTAGGGATTTACACCTCTATATATACACGACATGATATAAACCTGACCTTCATAAACAAATTAGAATTGAAGATATAAAAAAAAAAATGGGTTCAAAGTTTTCTCAATTTCGAACTTAAAAATTCAAAGAAGATCCTGAGGAGTTATGAATGCAATTGTTGACTCCCAGAGAAAAAAAAATCATTGAAGAAAAACAAGTACTTAAGATTGAATTTTTTTTATTAATATAAAAATTAGTACTTAACAGTTTTAAAGGATCCATAACTTGCTTTTTTATAACAAAAATTTACTTGGACTACTTTACAGAAAGAGTCTTTTCGTTTTTGTAATTTATGATACATTATAACTCATTTAATACAATAGTCAATGTTTTTTTCTTATTTTGCACAAAAAAATAAATCGATTGATATATAGTAACCTAAAAATCCTGACAAAAGCAAAAATAAATAACAATTTTTGATTGAAATTATATAATTTTTTTTTCTCGGCTTCTAGCGCCAATTGGACAAACGCCAGGATGTGTCTAATATTTTTCAGTGTCGTGTTACTGAAAAAAATTTGGTTGAAATCGGTGACCTACTGACTAGCCTCCCCATATAAGTCGATAACCTTTAGATTTAAATTACAAAATATTTAAAAATATAAAATGTCTGCCATGTAAAGCCAGTATAGCTTCCTCACAGTTTTCATTGGCTCTATATTTGAAGGTTTATAATTTTTTGTATGAGAATAAAATCTCGGGGAGAAGCCTTTTTCAGAAATATTCGCGGGTTTGATATCCACAAATGATGTTTATCAGCAAATATTAAAATGTGGAAGAGTTTCACATTTCTAGATCACATATTTGATAATTCATGATTTTAAAAAATTCCAGTACATACTGAACATTCATAACGCTATTGTTGGTGCAAAAGATCGATAAATTTAGTTTTTTACAGGAAAACTAATTATTTTTTTATGATATAATAATATAATTTAATTTTTTATTGCCTTCTGCTATTTTCCATAGTAGCAGACTACCTTATCAGTTGCAGATTACAAAATGCCACCTTTAGCACAAATAGAATAAAAATTTAAATTTAAAAATTATATATATATGACTTTTAGCACTAACAGTTGTGATATATACTTAATAGATATGTTTTCACTTGTAAAATGGATGGATCCAAAAATCCATTAGAAAAATTTCAATTTTCTGTTCGTTCGGAATTAACAAGACTAATATTTTTCTTCAGTCAGAACTAAACCAATTGAAGTTGGAATATAAAAATATGAGTGAAGTTGACACAACTTTGACATTTAAGAAGGAAATCAAGACCACGACAAACTGGTTCAACTTCAAAGACTTTTTTTTTTTACAAACTCATAGTAAAAATTACTTTAAATTTATTGAAAATTGCACGAAATTTAAGTAATGGCAACAAGTGTCATGCCAGTAACATTTGGAATCGACCAAATAATAAAGTATAAATTAAGTTTTTGAATAAAACCTTTTAAATTTTAGAACCTCATAAAAATATTGCATTAACCTAATCCCTATTACTCTTTTACATGATCAATGCCTCCCACATTTGACAGCCATTATATTGTTGACAGTTATTTATATTAATTTTAATTATTAAATGGAATTAAATGAAGTTCATACTGTGCAGTTTCTTAACTATTCTCCAAATTTCCTCTAAGTTTGAGTCAAATTGAACGAGCCATTTTCAAACTATAGCGTGTCAAATAAAACATTTATTGATCCAAAAGTGGAAGTATTTTTTTTTTAGAGTAGTGGATAGAATTTTATAAAATTGATATTCACTTATTCATCTGTTTTGAGCCAAATCGGATGTGTGGATTTAGAGACGTATCAAGGAAAAAATGTTTGCGAATATATAACAGAAAGTAGTGGAGAGAATACAAGAACATTTACACTACATTATTTTTTTGCCAATACCTACATTTTATCCAACTTTGAGCCAAATCAAATGAGCCGTTTCTGAAATATTGGAATATCTATGAAAATACATTTACGCATGCGGAAGTGATAGATGGAATTTGATAAAATTGATATGGGACCATCTTGACACCAACCCGCACAATTCCGGAAAATTTCATAAAAATGGGATGAAAGGTAGTAGGTGATATGCCCGTCACATCAATTTCACTACTGACAGACCAACAGACACCGAATCAAATTTGATCCTTGACGTCTGAAACATAAAACGAGTGTGGAAATTTTCGATTCTGAGCAAAAAAAGTTGTTTAACCTCTAGCACGAATACAATGCTTCCCTACCTTTGGTAATGAGGAAGCAAAAATCTAATTGAGGACAATACTGTCAAATATTGACAAAATATATTTATAAATTTATTGTGTACTATTCCACAACTTAAAGCCAAATCAAATTAGCAGTTTTTTTAATTGATATCTATCAAAGAAAATATTGTCTATCGTTAAGCATTGGTTGAGGATGGAACTTGATAAAACTGAAATATTCAATCAATAATTATTGAAAGAAGCTAGTTGACTGTTCTATTGTTCGACTGTTAATGAGTAATAAAATATAAATATATATCATGGGTGATAAGTATTCAGGACGCAGTCACTATAAACATTTTTTTATTTGTGCCGACGTTTCAACACAAACATGTGGGTCACCATCAGGGCCTGGTTACTTTTAATGTACTTGAAAGCCTTCAGTGCTCGAACCAGGCCCTGATGATCACCCACATGTTTGGGTTGAAATGTTGGCAAAAATAAAAAAAAATTTATAACGACTGCGTCCTGAATATTTATCATCCCTAATCAATAATTGTTTCACCAACTTTCCTCCAATACATGAACAAGCCATGTTTCAAACATAGATAGTAAATATAGAAAATAAATTTTTGTATATGTAAGAGAAATTAATAAACGGAAGCCAATGAAATTGATATGGTATCATCAATGTACCATCTCAAGTTTTATAAAAATCAAATCAAAGGTAGTAGGTAATATACCTTTAGGATGCAGACAGACACTGAACCAAATTTATTACCTGATGTCAAAAATGTAAATCATGAACATACATTTTTAATTTTGGGGATGACAAAATTTGTAACATGCCATGCAGATACAAAACCTTCCAATTTCAAGAAGTGAGAAAACAATATTAAAGTTCAGGAAAGAAGTAAGTCCGTACCTGTGTTGATTCTGACAAATTAGAAACTCTAATAGCAGCTGCAGAACTGTCATCATGGCGGCGGGACATGGTTTCTCCCCTTTTTCCACCACCTTCCCTAAGGCCAGGAGCAATGTACTTACTTTTGGCTAAAAAAAAAATTATATTATTCATAAAATGACTACTTGCAATAACAAACTAATCTATTATCATGAATGTAATTTAAATTATATACTTTTGTCTTCAACCTGTGTAGGCCTTTTCTCTTCAGTAGCAGGAGTGGCAGGAGCCTTGTTTGGAATATAACCTGTGTCCTTGAAGGGACATTTTAAGGTCCAGTGATCACCATTACAAGTACGACACTTGACGGTTTTGTCAGCCATGCCTGAAAGAGAATAATAAAGATTCATTAGGAGTTAAACATTTGAGTTAGTTCATAATTCAAAACAAAAAATAGAATGAAAAAACGGAAAAAGTATAGCCATGAGAAATCTGTTCATATCATAAAATAAACTTCTATATTATAATCATATTTCATTTAATTAGTTTATAATTTTGTTATCTTCCTTCACAAACACAATTCACTTTTACTTTTGTCTATAAATTGATTAGGCTGAGAGTTTTTCTCAGTAGTAGACCCCTAACACAGGTTCTTTTTTACTTGATCAATTTGCTCTCTGAAATGTATCTTTTTCATAATGAGCTGAGGCAAGAAAATATGGGCTCTTTTACATTATTAGAGCTATGGTTAAATATGAAGTTAATACGATTAAAAAGTTAGTTTATATTAGTTAGTACCATTCACAGTTAATGGCAAACAGTGAAGAACAATCAAATATAATCTTTTAAAAAGAGAAGTTCGAAATTTTAATGTTGGAAATTAACTCAATAATATTTCCCTACTGAAACATGAAGGATTTACCAGTAATCAAGAAAATAATATTACCTCAGAAGTGTAAGCAAGATAAAAAACATGAAAGTAGTACAATTTATTTTCAACACCTCTAATATGAATTAGTTGTAATTCAATCCAACAGTGTACATTTGTTCACACATTCCATAAAACTAAATCAGTTTGTTTATTTCAAAAATTTAAAGTTTAAACGTATATTTTATTTGTTAATGGAATCCAATAAGAGATTTACCAAAAAAAATTTTAAAAATTAATCTCTAAAATCAAATCAAAAAGGAAATTTACAAATATCTCAGCATATTACTTATAATTAATAAAAATAATCAAAAAAGACATTTTAAAATAAAGAAACAACATACTTTTAAGCTTATCAAGCACATCCTCATCAGGCTTATCTTGTTCTTCTTTCGAAGTAATAAATTGCATAAAGACATCTTCTCCTGCAAATACAAAAAGAATTAAAAATACATAATTAATTGGTGCCTTAAAAAAATAATGAAATTTATGTACAATATGATTTAAAAATTAATGTAAAATCTACAATTTCTATTTTAATACTAAAACAATGGTGTTCATTATCTTCATATGAAATGAGGATTTCATATGAAGTTAAGTTTAATGAGAAGAAGAGAAATATCTAAAAAAAAGAATTAGGCTGTCATCTCAAAAACATGGGGAGGAACGGCAAGAAAATATATCAAGAGTGGATTGAATAAGCTATTTGTTATAAGTACTATTTCAACTCTTGAATAATTGAAAAAAAACATTGAAAGATTTGAAAGATAAATGCTCCGTATAATTGGAGCATTCAGGGATCAGAGTACTAGCATAGGAGAAGAAAGACCAACAAAGCGCTACTTAGAGGAACTTTTCGATCAATATCTCATTATATGAAGGCATGGAAGTTAAGATGGGTGGGGCATGTAGTTTAGAGCAATCCATCTTTAAGCCTCTACGCAACAATGAATGCCACAATAATAGGTAAAAGACCACATGGAAGGTCAAAAAGAAGATGGATAGATCAAATCAACAAAGATGCATTAGCGCTGCATGCAGATAACTGAAAATAAATAGCCTAAGATAGACAGAGATGGAGTAGCCTTCTCAAGGCGGCAGAAGATAAACAAGGTCTGTAATGCTAACAGAAAAAAAAATTAATTAGTAAATAAATAACTACAACGCTAAACTCTGGTAAGATCAGGTCATTAAATGTCGGAAATGGAGAAAGCTGAAAACTAAACTTAGAAAGGAGCATTACGACATGACCCGGCAGAATCTAGAGTGCAACATCCAAGGACAGCGAAGACTGTTAATGGTATAAGCTAGCAATATTTTGAATAATCTACAAGGAGGCTTACAATCATTGCGTCAAAAGACTGTATTTGTGAGATTACGTTTTTGAAGCATAAATCACAGGATTTCTATAACTAAGTGGTAACACCAAGAAATTGAAGCCAATGATGATGCAAAAAGGTAGAAAAATCAATAACATATGAATTATAATAATTTCAGGTAACTATTTGAAAAAAATAATACTTACAAAAAATGCCAAATAATCATGTATAATTTTGATTTTCTAAAATGAGAGATATCAATATGTATCAAGGTATTTTAAGAAATAAATTTGTATACATACCTACAACTGTGTTAGCAGGATTCGGACCAGGTTTGTCTCCAGCAGCAACTCCATATTTCGCCCATGTTTTGCGCAATGCAATTGGTTTTGATACACATCGTTTCTCAATTTTGTAAGTTCGAACAATTTTCTCCTATTGTATTACAACAACATATTATAATATATATGTAACAATAAAACTAAAAACTTATGTGTTATTTATTTAAACAACTATGATTAAGAAAAGTCAATGCATTAAAAACAAATAACACAAGTTTTTGGATTGGATAAAAAAAGATAGCAGAGAAGATATTATATAACAATGTCAATGAGGACATTTTTAGTTGAAGTCAGAGTCTTACGAAGGGGGTCGGTCACCCTCTGTCACCTCAAATTCCATCAATAGCATAATCTTGTGACCAACTGCCATTAGTGAAGAAGTACCAATTTGGTGGCTACTTGGAAAACAATGCTTTATTGGTTATCCAAGAACTTTATACCTTTCTTATTTGTTCTCCGTGATGGAAATAATCTTAAAAATGGTGTCTTAATCATTGGATTTGATGAAGATTTAAAAAAGATAGGGAGCACAGACAAATAACTTCTTTCAGAAACTATGAATAAAGATGTAATATATATAATGTATCATGCAGAACAGGTTTCTGTAGAAATTGCTTTATATTAATAATTGAAATAATTAATACTATCCAACTCCAGGAATATTGCAATTGATAATTATAAGAATACTTAATTTATAGAGAATTACAGAGTTCTTCTGAAAAATATAAACCGAAAGTAAAAATAAATATAAACCGAAAGTATAAATAAAAAAATTATATCATCCGATTGATCAAAATTGGACTTTGTCACATCCATGAAATTCCTTTTATTTGATAACTCATTCATCAAAATCCATCTCTCCTGAGAGCCTGAAAGGGATCTATCTAGACGAAATATATAGAGAGCAGATTATCATCTTTGGCCAATTTATATAAATAATAATAAAGCAAAGAAAATAAACAATACAACTCTGAACAGTAATCAAATGAAACCTTGCAACATGTAACATACCTTTTTATCATCTTCATTCCTCCTATATTCTGTTACTATTTTAAATCCATTTTCAAATACTTCATTAGACTGGGGTATGTCTTCTACAACTTCCTCTACTTCATCTGCCCAACTTGATTTGACTTCATCAGCAACTGGCATCTAAAAAATTTAAAGTGAAATTACTGTAAGCTATGTCCATATGCTGTTGACTAGCAATATAATACGTATAACTTTTTTCAATTACTTGACAGGTTTTATTGTTATTAAATACAAATAATTTTGTATTAACTAAATTGAATAAAATACCTTTTATTTAAAGTAAATAATATACTGGATCCAGCACGCAACTTACAAAATCACAGAATGAATGATCAAAGAACGAGCGTTCAAACTCAACCTCAAGCTAGAAACTACTTTTGGTTTGAAGAGCTTCTGAAATTCAAATAGTTCAATCACAATTATGAAAATGTAATTATGATTTAATATTTTATTTTCAATTATGAATTTTTTTAATTGATTAAGAAACAACTTTAACCTCTCAATATTGGAGATAATACACATGAATATATAATATAATATTCATAATCGTTCTGGAAACAGAAAACCAAAAATAATAATTTGTCCATCCACAAAAAAGTCATTTCTGTACTTTCGCAGTGCACTAAAACTTTTTGAACAACTATAAAACTATAAAAGAAAAAACTTGGCCATTGCACCACTAATTCCAATTAATATCCGTTAACATTAGCATTCCTAGTCATCACTCCATTACGTTTGTTATATGGGTCATTATAAAATGTATGTCACTGGGTAATAATAGCCCCCAATCATAACTGAAATCAATTAAATAATTTTTCTCATGACCAATCCTTTTAAAAGTATACTTCCACTTTATTGTTTAGTAAAATTTGAAATTTTTATGATGTAGTAAAAAATATGTGAAAAGCTGATTTCTCACTTTCTAATGCTGTGACAACCAAGAGCTACCAACATAGTAAACTGAACACTGTGAAAAACTTTATGAAGAAGGCTTTAAATCTAGTGCTATTGAGAAATGATATGATGGCTAATCTCGATATGAGTCTTACAGGTATTGATATTCCTAATATGAAGAGATATTTCGTTCTGCTTTGAATCCAGAGGCAACACTACTTCAAAATACTCTTTTCTAGTATCCAGACAAATTATTTCATTAAAAACCTTTGACTATGTTTTTACAATTTCACTTCTTAGTGCATTAGTTTTCCAAAGGTAAATCAATTTTATTCAAACTTTGTACTTTTAGTAAGTTTTGATAGTGATTTGATTAAGAATATTTTGAATCGCCTGTTTCAAAAGGTAAGTAAATTTTTGTTTTCATGAAAGGATAAATCCTCACTCATTGCTTTACAATCTCTAGACAATTTCTAAGGTTAGGGATTGAGGTCACAAACAATCGCCGCTGCATTCCCAAGTAAAGCCGTCTTAACGTTTCATTTTTGCCAAAGATGGTAAATTCATACTTCCAAATTATGTTAACTGTTACATAAGTTAAGTATGTTAACTTATGTTATGTAAGTATGTTATATGTTACCGAGCTTTAGCTCGGTAAAACATGCAATTCAAAAATTTGATAATAGTCCAACATGGCCAGGAACTAATTTCTATTCAAAGTTGTGTGATTTTTTTTATTTTTTATCCAATTATCTTCATTTTCTTTTATAAATACAATTAAAGTTGTTTTATGAAAAGAACTTATTTTATTTTGTCTCTTTTTCGTTTTTCATTTCTTAGAGTGCATAAATATGCTGTTCTACCATTATATATAGTTTTAAATGTTTTTTTCATAGTTTTGAGTGTTTTGTACACATTTTTATATGTTTTGTGTATAGCTCGTTTACTTAAGGTTTTCTTAACTTTTTAGTTTATTTTTTAAATTTTATTTATTGCTTCAAACTTTCAGGCCAGAAGTACAGGTTTTTATATGTTTTGTATATAGCTCGTTCACTTAAGGTTTTCTTAACTTTTTAGTTTATTTTTTAAATTTTATTTATTGCTTCAAACTTTTAGGTCAAAAGCAGTATTTTTTTTTTTTTTTTTTTTTTTTGTACAATTTTGTTATTCTAAAGGACTTTGTCACAGAATAAAGTTTTTTTCTATCTATCTATCTATCTATCTTTCTAATCAAAGTATCTTGCTGTGTTGCAAATCGATGTAACACCATAAAAACATTCCCCAAGTTGGTATATCTTCCTCTTCAATTTGATTGATTATAAAAGGAAAAACAATCATGTCTCAGAAATCATAATATATACCGAATTTTATTTTGGATCTTGTTTACGCTTATCTCCAACTTTTTTTCTTTTTGGTTTCAAATGAGACGAAATAAAGATATACCAAGAAAAAAACTTTAGGCATGTGTTAGCGAAAATAGTGGAAAGAATTTGATACAATTCATTTGGGACGGGATATTTACCAATTTCTGAAAACATCATCAAAACAACATTAACGTTAGTAGCTGTTATACCATTTGGCTACAGAAAGAAATAAAGAAAACCTACGTTGTTTCCATAGGTCTAAAATGTTAAACGAGTAGAATTTTTCGATTCTACGAACTAATTTTGTTTTTCACTTTCCACGTTAATAAAATACTTTACTGTAAGAATGAGAAAAAAAAACTATTTGAAATCAATTTTAAAATTGATGGAACAAACCAGTGGAAAAAAAAATGTAACAAAATTGAATCAACCTAATTTAACAATTTAGCGATTTTTATGGAGTAGTAGGAAAAAACGATGCTTTATTGTAGTCATTATTATATAATTATATACGGAATCTATTTATATTCTATGACTATATGTATATGTACATATGTAATATGTACATTATTAATATTAGTAAAGGTTCCTTCAGTCCTCTTTTCGGACCTAGCGTATTTGGAGCATGGTTGATTTCAAACTTCTGAAGTACGTACATCAAAACACCATTTCAAAGAGTTACTTACATCTTGCATTACTGTATAAGATGCTTAAAAACATAACTGAATGATTATAGGGCAGTGGATGAAGTGAACTTGCTCCACAAAAACAAAAAATAAGGTTAGTTTAAAATCTAAATTATGGAACCTATTACAAAAAAGCAAAAACTTTTTTTTTTGTTAGAGAATGTTTATTAATACGTAATTTAAGCATTTATTTTCTTTAAAATTAATTCACTTTCTTACACTCCGGATAATCTATTACCTTTGTTTAATATAAAAATGATTATTTTTTTATGCGAAATCTCGAATCACATAGTAATTAACCTCATGGTTCGCTTTATTGTGAATAGATAACATATAAGTATAAGGTCTAAACAATGACGTATATACGCTATTTGTAATGCATTGATGCTACTTTCTAAGGTTCTTGTCTATAGGTGTATTAATTCTACGCACTATCTTCATTTGTCATTTCTTTTTGTTTTTCATTAAATGAAAATTGTTATTTATTTATTTTATTTAATGATTTGAAGTAGGCTGAATCTTAACTAAACCTTGAATGTAATGTTCAGATAATAGTTTTGAGCGAAATAATGACACTGAATAGAAATAGAATTAAGATATTATAGATGTCTGGAAACTTTTATGACATTCAGATTAAAGTTGTATCTCTTCTTGCCATGGGATTAGTGATATAGCATAAACTTGTTATCATGTTGATACACCTTTGCCTCTAATACCCTCCGTGATTAATAAAAATGATATAGGAAATAGATTATTACCAATGTTAAAGTACGACTAACTGTATGGAAACATTTTTGAGGAATTGTATAAGCCTTTCAGTTGACAGAATGACTAACTCCAGTTTCAAGATTTTCATTATTAAGTGATATTTCTAGTGGAAAAATGTACACCTTTATTCACAGTTCTATATTTTAACATTGCAATCTCTTACTCTGGAATAAATTTACTCACTTTCTATATAGATATTATAAATTTTCCATCTAGAAACATCACTAAAATGACTTTACTCTAAAATGTTGAAAGTGGAGTTAGTCATTTTGTCAACTGAAAGACTCATATACTAGTCTACTAGCTATATTGGCCTTAATTACATTGACGTCAATCAAATTAGTTGATATCAATTTTTTTATTGAAGTTCCTTCAATATTATTGAAACAGTGGTATGGGTGAAATGTTCACCCCTTGAAATTTACATCTCCCTGGTTTTAATATCGAACGTTGCTTAACTGACTGTCAATTTATTTACAAGATAGTTTTGTCAGTTCTTCTTGACATTTGTTATCATTGGTTTGTGATATGACGCCAATTTTGAAGAAACGTGTAAAACTAACCCATTTTTCTGTTTAGTTATTATTATTAGTGTGTTACATCTGTACAAAACTGCAATATATGGAACTTCTAATAAATGGTATTCATTTTAGATTTTTTTTATTATTATTATTCTTTTAATAGTACATTGTAATTAGCTTTATAATTATTGATAACTACAAGTGAATATTAGTAAAATATCATGATGAAGTGTTAAAATACTCAGACAATCTTATTAATATTATTATGTAGTTGAGGATTTTACTGGTTTTAGAAGCTAGTTGATTTCCAATGAATATTAATTACAATGAATTATTTAGATTTCTAGGTAACAAGTTATGCAATGCTTTTCCCATTCTACTGCTTCTGTTTTAGGAGCAGTTATTACTTTAATTTACTTTAGAATTTTTTTCAATTAACAATTATTCTTATTGTGATATAAACCATTGAATTTTCTACTGATTGTTAAATACTTTCTGTGTAAATAATGTTTAAACTGATTCCAATAAGTATTGATGAAGAAAAAAATTTCAAGGTTCTGTATGATCTAATTATATTTCACATTTCATAGTCTGCAATTTCTTGCTCACTGGTGTCATGATTGAAAAATGAAGATAAAAAAGTGAGGCAATTATTGATAAATTTTCTGTTGTATTGTGCCTGAAGTAATTTGATCAAATTATGAATATTGCTTATATATCATTAATTTCTAACCATCATTTTCAGTTAATTTTAATTTTTGTCTGCTAGAACTTACCATCATTTGCTGTCCAAAAATTATTTGGACATTAGAAAATGACAGCTATTAGAAATAGCCAAATTTCATGTTATATAAAGAAATTGTGTTATTTGTTATTGACAAATATAAATATTAGATTACTAAATCCTCAACAAAATTAAATTAAATATTATTAATTTAAAAAATAATCTTCAGATTCATGCACTCATAGTATATTAATGAGAACAATAATTATGACACTATTATTACATTTCTACATATCTCCATATTTTAAAATATTAAGAATAATATTTATAATACTTTAGTTATTATCATTAATTTTATAAAATAGATTTTTTTAATAAAATGTGTATACAAATTTTCCGGGCAGTCACAAATAGACTAAATAGTGGCAAAACTATTTATTAAAAGCCAACATTTCGACCTGGCTTTTCAGGTCTTCTTCAGGGAGGTGTTTTCAGCAAGGAGTTTAGTCTGTGGGCCAGACCCCCTTACCGTGCACCCCCCCCCACATCCCTATAAATTGCATATCGTTGTGTTCCTTGTAACAATTTATTAAAAAAAAGCCAATGTTCCCACAAAAAAAAGTGAACGCACTGCCCCAAAATGGCGTCCAAAGATGGCGGATTGACGACTTTGACTTTAGTTAGTTTTTTGGTCACTGAGAATCAGCATTAAGCTTAATTTCCTCATAGTTGGTCTTTTATTAAAGCTGAATAGTTATAGAATAATACAACATTAAGAAATATTAAAAAATAATTGGCTAAGGCTATGAAAAACACCAGTAAAGTCAATTTTTTTAACAAAAAAATTTTCAAGTTACAAATCAAACGTCGTTTGTAATTAAACGGCCTACAATAACGCAAAACGTGCTGAAATAAACCATCTGGAGAATATATTTCTCTTTCTGAAACGCTAATTATTTTTTACAAATGTTTAAGTAGTTCCGTAAAAAATGCACTTATGCGGCAGAAAAGCGGTACTGGCGTGGGTGCCTACAGGCCTCTACCACACCATTCAGTGCCCATAAATGGCTTAGTTATAGTGATATAATAACATTTTTGGTACATTATATTGGTTTTATTAACGAACAAATATTAATGCAATAATTTAATAGTAAAAAAAAAAATTAAATTAAAAAAAAAATGTATTATTATTTTTTTAAATTTTAAACTTCTTTATTCTATACGTAGGTCGTTTAAGAATACCTCAATTGTGAAAATGGTATAATTATAATAATAAAACTTAATTAAAAAATATTTTGCTAAATATCTTGATTTTTTTTTATTTAACGTTTGCAATTTAACACTGTGTTTTGAATATTTACTGATTCTTAGAAGTAATTAAAATTTTTATATACTTCCCAGGAAATGAGTCATATTCATACCTTTTTTATAAACTAAAATAATATATACCTAATCTGAACTATATATAATGAATAGCTACCGGGTTGTTTAGTAAAACTCATATATCACTAATTAAAAAATTAATTTTTATTTCCTTTATTTTGTGCAGAAGTTGGACTATATCATAAATAAATAGGAAATTTTAATATTGAATGAATTATTCTCTATGCACAAAGAAATATATAAAGGGTGACCCTATAAGTTCTTCTATAAACCAAAACTGATTGTTTGGATTTGATCTCAAAATGAGGAAAAACGTGAACTTAAACGAGAAAATTGGAAAAATACATTAAACGAACGAGAAAGGAAGTGCCAAAACCTCGGAATAGATAAAAAGGACCTGTATCCATTATATAGCTAAATGAATGTATAGTAGATAGATGAACAGAATATTTCAAGATGCTGCTAAAACGGGATCAATTGCAGTTTGGATGATATTAAGTGGACGATGTAGGTTTATTATGGTGAAAACCACTTTATTTTCGATTGCTGAAGGTGCACATCGGGACTATATTAACTTTGAAGATGAATATAGAGATGTACATCGAGAAAGTTATAGCTCATAGCTTTCCTTCTGTTTAGTGGATTTTCAAAAGATTTTTTAAGGGATCTAAAAGGAAAACGAGTTTTTCTGAAAGACAGTTAGATATTAGCATAATCCAAAGTGTGAGGCACTGAGCAGATAGAGAGCTATTTTTCTTTTTATGTGGACTTCTCTATAACCTGCCTTAAAGTGAAGACAGTCCCAATTTTCAACTTCTCTTCCAATGTGCAACTTGAGTTTCTCAATCCATATCACTCTGGCAATCGACAATATTTCTTATTCCAGCTTCTACGATTCTTGTGTATAATTTGTTTGGTACACTAAACAGGAATGGGTCTTGATGGGTATTACATTTCCTAGTACCTCCTTTCTTGTAAAGGTAAAAACCACAGTCCTTTCATATTATTTTCTAATATGCTTGTTGCCTATGTACGCGCAAAACTGTCAAAGCAGTTCGGTTTCGCCCTTTCCATCTTTCTTTGTGCAGAGAGAATAATACATTCAATATTAAAATTTCCTATTTTTTTATGATATGGTACAAATTCCGAACAATTCAAGAATAACGAGCTACAACTAATATAAGATACCTTAAAAAATCTTTTGAAAATCCACTAAACAGAAGGAATAATTCATTCAATATTAAAGTTTCCTATTTATTTATGATATAGTCCAACTTCTGCACAAAATAAAGGAAATAAAAATTAATTTTTTAATTAGTGATATATGAGTTTTACTAAACAACCCGGTAGCTATTCATTATATATAGTTCAGATTAGGTATATATTATTTTAGTTTATAAAAAAGGTATGAATATGACTCATTTCCTGGGAAGTATATAAAAATTTTAATTACTTCTAAGAATCAGTAAATATTCAAAACACAGCGTTAAATTGCAAACGTTAAATAAAAAAAAATCAAGATATTTAGCAAAATATTTTTTAATTAAGTTTTATTATTATAATTATACCATTTTTACAATTGAGGTATTCTTAAACGACCTACGTATAGAATAAAGGAGTTTAAAATTTAAAAAAAAAATAATACTTTTTTTTTTTAATTAAAATTTTTTTTTTACTATTAAATTATTGCATTAATATTTGTTCGTTAATAAAACCAATATAATGTACCAAAAATGTTATTATATCACTATAACTAAGCCATTTATGGGCACTGAATGGTGTGGTAGAGGCCTGTAGGCACCCACGCCAGTACCGCTTTTCTGCCGCATAAGTGCATTTTTTACGGAACTACTTAAACATTTGTAAAAAATAATCAGCGTTTCAGAAAGAGAAATATATTCTCCAGATGGTTTATTTCAGCACGTTTTGCGTTATTGTAGGCCGTTTAATTACAAACGACGCTTGATTTGTAACTTGAAAATTTTTTTGTTAAAAAAATTGACTTTACTGGTGTTTTTCATAGCCTTAGCCAATTATTTTTTAATATTTCTTCATGTTTTATTATTCTATAACTATTCAGCTTTAATAAAAGACCAACTATGAGGAAATTAAGCTTAATGCTGATTCTCAGTGACCAAAAAACTAACTAAAGTCAAAGTCGTCAATCCGCCATCTTTGGACGCCATTTTGGGGCAGTGCGTTCACTTTTTTTTGTGGGAACATTGGCTTTTTTTTAATGAATTGTTACAAGGAACACAACGATATGCAATTTATAGGGATGTGGGGGGGGTGCACGGTAAGGGGGTCTGGCCCACCGTGTATTTCACTTAGAACTGTAAATGTTGGCTTTTAATAAAATAGTTTTGCCTCTATTTAGTCCATTTATGACCGCCACCATCTCCTTCCTTAATAATACAACGATCAACTATTAAGTATTCAAATTTTTTTTTTATCTTTAGTTTCCTTACTTGTTACTATTATTTTTTTAATCAAAAAGTTGAATCATTTATATGTAATATATTCTAAAAAATTTCTGAGTTTATCGTTCTGTAAGATGACCATTGGCCCATGAAAAAAAATTAATTAATTTCTTCATATATCTTAGTTGATGTTTAAGATTAAAAAATAAACGTAAACTAATTTTTTTTTAAATTCAATAGGGCATGTGTGTATTTAAGTATCTTTTAGTTTATATACATTTACTTTTAGTATTATTATATTGCTATTTATTATTATTTTTTTATTGTGCATAGTATGAATGAGCTACTGTTTATCACTATTACTATTGTCCTAGAATGTGACAGATTGTAATATATCTCAATAAAGAAATTTCCTTTAAAAAAAAATAAAAAAATTCAATAGGAATGATAGGAATGTTTTATGAGGTAGCTGTCTAAAGTTGTCGAGAGAGGCTCTCTCTTCCTTGACTAAGCTCCCCCCACAAGGTTCTTCCTTAATTTGTTTGCCTGTACCTAAAGTTATAATTTTTGCTTATTCATGTTGTCGTTTTTTTTTTGTTTTTTTTTTCTGTTGTATTTGTCTCTACCCTAGAGAGCCATTGCTATCATGTTTTCATATTCTATGGTAATATTTGGTTCATTTCTATTGTAATATTCAATTAAGTATTGGAACAGAGTGATGAAATTCTCTTCATTATCTCACAATATTTCTTTCAATGTTGAGAATAACTTTAGTTTTTATATCTTTTTTTTTTTTTCGATTTGAGTGTTTGGCTTTTTGCAGTGTGTTGTCACACTTTTGGCATATGAGCGCATCTAGACCTATAAGAAACCACCCGTGTGTAAACAGGCAGTGTCCAATTCATATTCGGCACAATATGTTTTTTTCTCTTGATTTCCTCATGATTGTGGCCCATTTGTTGCATTCAGATTTTATTTCTAATAGTTTAGCTTGTTTTGTTTTTCATTTGCCTTCCCAATTTTGAAATAATTTTTTTTTTCAATTGTGTACCCAATCTTCAACTGTGATATCATTTATTGCAGTTATGATTCATATCTCTCCCTTACTAGCCAAATGTGTAGCTTGATCATTCATGTATTAAATTTTTTTACTATTTTAATATTCTATTTAACATTTTGATAAATAAGTCTTTGGTTTTCAGATTTAGATAAAATGCTGAACTACTCTGTTAATTTTCGCTTAGAATTTTTTTTTTCGCATGCATTCTGCATTGTATAGATTTATTTTATGGATTACTTCCAGTTTTTATTTCTTAATTAACTTTTGCATAATTCATTTATTTTTTTTTTAGATAAATGGAGAAAAAGGGAGATATGATATGCATACATATCAAGCCTATAAATGTGGAGGAGGAGAATTCTGTAGAAAATATCGTGAACCAGATATCTGAAAATTTGAGAGAACCAAACAAAGAACTTATTAGTCAGTGAATAAATGTTTTGATTTTTTCTCAGTTTTTATTATTGTTCTTTTATTCATTACTTTTCTTTCTTTAGGCGAAATAATTTCAGCTCTAGGTATTGTTAGAACAATGCAGTACTATAATAAAACAAGAATCATTGAACAACAAGGAGGGCTGTGTTGTAAAGTATGAATTTTTCTATTACAAGATTATTTAGTGATCTGCTTTGTAGGTTAACTAGTTTTTCTTCCAGGATGGCTCTCGTAGACGAAAACCTGGTGGTGTCTTCTTTCATCTAATATACCATGATACTTCAGTTTCAGAATCTATCAAACAGATTTTTTCCAATGAAGCTCGTAAAAAGTACAAAATGAAGAAAATTGAAATAAAAGAAAGAAGAAGAAAGCACAATGAAGAATTGAAAGAGCGCTTGATTAAAGGTAATTCATTGTAATTATCTGTCATGGTTATATCATCAGTATGATATAATATACAGGGTGTCCCGTAAATAGTTTTCACCCATATCTCTAGACCTAATATTAACGTTTACATTAAAATAATTGAATTTTTTTAATTTAAAGGTAAATATTAGGACTAGAAACTTTTATTTTGTCACTTATAAATATAAATCAATTCCTATAACAGGGAACTGGGTGAAAAACACGGTTTATAACCAATTTTCCGGAAAAACATTTGAAAAATCAGTATTTTTCAAATTATTAAAAAAAATAAATAAAATGTGTGTTTAAGCAATTGTACTAATTATAATACTTCTCAGATAATAGAAAAACAAGAAATAAAATATTTGCTACAGTTTATTGTAGTATTTTTCATGGAAAACAGGAGTACTTTTCCTTGACAGGATAAAAAATATCGTTTTTTAAATATAATTTGAGCTGAATCTCAATTTTTTCCTTATAAACCTCAGCTTAATTAATATGGACTTAAAACTTATTAAATGAAGAATTTTTTGTAGAAGTGGAGTATTTGTAGTACAGTTAAATGATAATAAAAAAAATCGTGAAGAAGTTCTGCTTTTTTTTTTTTTGAGAGAGAGAAACACTTTATTTTCATAAAATATAAAGGATTGCTGCCCAATTATATTGGGTCGCTATACACACAGCATACTCTTCTATCCTTAGGACAATATATGAACTTATATATAAATATACAGAAGTATTAGTTAATATTAGTAAATATATATATATACATTTCATTTTTATTTTTTCTTCCTTTCATTGTTCATGCATTTTTTTTTTTTTTTTTTTTTTTTTTTTTTTTTTTTTTTTTTTTTAGCATTTAGTTTCCCTTTCTCTCACCCTCTCTCTTTATCTCTATTTTTCAATTATTCATTAAATAAATAAATAAATACATAAATTAAAACTCTCGGGCTAGCCATGCACGTGGTGGTGAATGATTCCCAGGGAGTCGAGGACTATATTTTCAGTTAACCTCGCTATGTCGTTAATGTCGACTCCTAGTTCCTCGAGGAAGCTCCTTTTTCTTTTTGGGATAGTTCCGCGAGACCCAAACCAGAGGCCTCTCACGGTGAATTCTCTCTCTCCAAAGGTCTCACGGAATTTATCTTTTAAGAAAGGGATACATTTATCGTACATGTTCTTCTTTTCCCTTTCCACTTCACCCGCCTGATCGAGGTCATTGCTCTCAAAGCGGACAGTTGGATCCAAGATCAGCGCTGTCCTTCCTGTCTTTGGAAACGCGACGATATCCGCGTATCTCGTAGAGCCTTCACTATCGATGCAATATACCTCGTCTAAGCAGGTGAATTTCCTTTCCCTAAGGAGCCTCATCAACTCGAACTTGACCCGGTGGTGACGACGTGTTATGAGGAGGGAGTTGTTGGGCCATTTTCCTAGCACATGGGCTGGTGTTTCAGACTCTCTGCCGCATTTACGGCAGAGGGACCCAATTTCTCCGACCTGTCCGCTGACTCCTGGGACTCCATGCAGGGGCGCATAATTAATGTTTAGTTTTAGGGCATTCGACCATTCAGACCCAGAAAGTACTTGCTTTTCGTAGATGTATCTATTTGCTTTCGGGGTCTCTTTAAAATGGCGAACACCAATACCCTGCCACCTGCAGTTGGCCCATTCCTCAAATGCATTATCTTGTAGCGACTGCCGTAGAGCTTTCACATTTCGATGACCCTGATCAACCCCCAATCTCTCGGCACATTCAGTAATATCAGCCGAATAATCGAAGGTAGACTGAAAAAGGGTATCTGGTTCATTGGACAGTCGCTGAGCAATAGACCAATGTTGAAGAGGAGCCTCCCATTGGCAGCGGATTAATCCCAATCCTCGGTATCTCCTGGGGGCATACAACATCGCTGCGGAAGTATTAGCAGGGAGTCCAATAATGGCCTAAGAACTTAGCTTAGTTTAGCAGCTCATAAGTGCTCTATAAATGGTTTTAATAATGAGAAACTATTTTCATTTAATGTAAATTTTATCTAGTTTTTAATGAAGCTATTATTAACTACTTAACTTAAATATTTCTTTAGTTATTGCTTTCGATTCAACAAAAAACACGACACTTAAAAAATCACAAAACTTGGATTTCTTACTTTTCTGTTGAAAATTTGCCCATTGCTCATATGAACATTTTTTTAGCTCTAGAGGCCTGGTATCACTTCTATAAAAAATTCCCTCTGCTTGTGGGACACCCTGTATAGTTTCATTATTATTTTATTTACTGATATAATAATAATATAAGTACTAATGTATATAATAATATTATAAGTACCACCCAAATAAACTCCTCCAAAAAGTTAGTCTCAAGCTCTATTGGAATGAATCGATTATAACTGACCATACACAATAAACCAGATATCCTCTTAATAGACATGAGAAAGAAAAAAGCAGAGCTTATTGATGTCGGAATTCCCAATAATAATAATATAAGCTCCACTGTTGGAGAAAAACTGTAATATGTATAGCCTGACTGGTTTTAGGTATGTAATGATTTTTTAAGTGATTGGTTTAACCAATGCTCAAGTTAATGGAAAAGAACAATCATTCTTAATTATGAAAAAGTATTAAGTGTTAAAAAATTGGTGGAATGTTAGTCCAAAGTAAAAGTATCAAAGGTGATACAATTCGAGGATACAAAAATCAAATAGATTTGAAGGTTTCTACCAGCCATCCAAGAGCATTAAAAAAGTGAGAAATGCGTATTATAGTTAAGGAAAGTAAAAACAAGGTCTTAATGTTTACACACAGATTGTCTTCAAGATATCCAGATAAACGGGAAAGCAAGGATATCTACAAAATATTTAAAAAAGAAGAAAAAAAGGTGATGTGGATTAGAAATAAAATAGAAGAAAAAAATTACTGCCCGCACAAAAGAGTTTTAGAATCATTCAAACAATTTTTGAAGTTAAGTCATTTATTTATCTATTTATTTTTTCAATGAATCCCAATTCAACGTTTCCAGTTTTAACATTCATATAGCAGGCCTACAGAATTATTTTTAAAATTAAATTATTTTAATTTCCAATGAAAAAAATACTTAAAAGTACACTTAATTAAAATGATCTTCATTAACCGGTAATTTTGTGGTTTAATTATTTATTTTTCCTTTGATTTAACATGGGTATTATAGTATTAATATTATTATTATTATTCTATACAGTCTTTCAATTATTAAAATTATAAGACTTTTTTTATTATAATGTGTTACTCGATTTTTTTAATTTTCAGAGGGTCTTCTCATGATATCCAATGGTCAACAGAAAAATAATTAATAACAGCTAGTTCCTGTAACCTAATTAATGTAATTTTATTTGTTGTTTTTTGTTTGTTTTTAAATCCTATACTAAGTTGATCTCAAAAGATATTTTTTCTAGTCCTTTTAGTGTGTAATTATTATATTATTGTATATTTAAAAATTATAATATATTTAATATTTTTAGAAAATATTCCTGTAAAGTATGGCTGTGCAACTAATTTTATAATTTTGTACTTTTAGTCCTAAAAAGTATAAATCATGACGTGTGTGAATTGTTTTATAGTTTGCTGTTCATAAATGTAAACTGTATTGTTTTCATTTTTGTTCCTGAATTGTTTGGTATTTACTAGTTTTAGTGTGATATAAATATATCATTGTAGGTTGTTAAATGAGCTGCAAAAATAGAAAAATGTACAAATAATTGTGTGTGTTTTTTTTTAACAAACTTATTGAATAATTAAATGTACTATTTTAGCTATTTTCATACAAGACCTGTAATGACTAGTTTTTTATGCCGAATAAAATATTTTATAATTTAATTCAATGAATACATGAAAATCTAGTTTATCTTAGTGTGTTTATTACAATATCATTCCTATAAATTTGAAGAAAGCTAAATATTACAATTTATAGTTATTCTACAATTTTAATTATCTTTAATAAAAAAATTATTTTTAATTCCTCCTAAATGGGTTAGGAAAAGACCTGGATCCAGTTTAGCATTGCCTTGGTCTGATCACCTCTGTATTTATATATTGATAAAGAAAGAAAAATTCCTCGTTATTATATCTCTTAACCAGTAAGCCAGAAATGGCTAGTTAGGGTGGAAAAAAAAAAGAGAAGAAGTTCTATCTTTAACTTCCAACCAGGAATCACTATGTATTCAGATTGGAGGAGAAAACTGAACTAGCATGTGGGTTTTCGGGCACAATTCTCCAAACTTTGGCTGCTCCATAGAATCTGTCCTGCATTTACCAGAACCAGATTGCCATAATTATTATTTAGGAGTACTAAAAAATACATTTTTACTGGTGGAGGTGGGAATTGAACTAGCATTGCTCCAAGTCAGACTCTCTGGGATCCTCTTCCCAATGGTGGATTTCTGGACATTTTTTGTTTTAATTTATTTATTAGATTACTCCCTACCTCGTCTTTTATGGCGTACTGAGTGGAGAGACGTTGTTCTAGAGTTACAACAAAACCTATTCTAGTCTGAGTGGGATGTCTAGGTTTATTCTCTGGCAATGCCACTAAATAAATTTCAGCAGATAGTTTAGTCTTTAATATGGCAATCATGACCTCAGGCTAGATGGGTTGAAAATTATTTTGTAGCGAACCTATGGAATGAATCTCGACCTAGATTGGGAACTAAAAAAAAAAATTATTAAATAAAACTTATTCAATTTGGTCCAAACTTGGAGGAACATTATAGAATAATTTATACATGGTCAATAAAGATTTTATTGAAATTTTTAACGTAATTTTCATTGTAATTTCCAATATATAGGAAGAAAAGGATTCAAATTATTATTATATTGTTTTCTCTGGTAATTGAGTTTTTCCTGAAGCTCATATACATTAGGCTGTGCCGGTCAAGAACTGAAGAGGGGGCAGTTAGAGTTACTCCTCTAAAATATTTCAACAAAAGATTTTTGTTGCATTACTACACGTTGTTCTGTTTTATTTTTTACTTCCTTATTTGTGAATGAGTCAAGAAATTTTACTTGAGCCCCAATAACCAGAGAATCTTACTGAAAGACTAGTAGAAACACTGAATAATACGCTATTAGCATTGTAAATATTTCCACAATTGCCATCATTTGTATTAATACTCCACAAGCTCACAGAGTGATCAAACCCTTAAGAGGACAAATGTCTTTACCTCAACTATCTAAATAAAAATATTTAAATTGATTTTTATGTTTAGTATACTTCGTTGGGTAAATGACGCGTCTATTAACAAAAAGAAATAACTCAAAATAAAGGTATTTTTTTTATTTTATAAGTTTTTCAAAAAAGGAAGTTAAAAAAAAAAAATGAAATGGTATTATCTGAGGTTTGTTGGTAGATGACTCAAGTAATGATAAAATATTAAATTTTTATATATACTGATGAAAAAAACTACCATAAGGAACAAACTGCCCTATTGATGTTATCTACTTAAAAAAAGACCCATAAATTTATAAAGAAAACAGGTCTGATAAAACAGAGAAAGTTGTTCAATGTTAAAAAAGAAGGAATGATAACAACAGTGTGTTGAAGGTATGCCAGAGCTTAATACGTTTTGAAAGATTAATTATCTCAAATAATGTTATGGATTGTATTTACTTTGTTTTTCCATAACACTTATGGGAGTAGACCTATAGTTGTAATTAAGGATGGTTCTTTAGCTGGTATCCAAATGCAAACTTGGATGGGGAGGAATGTATCAGCTTTTCTCGGTATTCCATATGCTGCACCACCGATCAATGGCAACAGGTTTTTGGTATATAGATAATTCTTGACTTTTATAGCAATTATTTTATGACAGTCAAATTAAACGATATTAACGATCTATTTTTTTTTTTTTTTTCGTTGGCACAACAACCCGGGATGGGGTGGACTTTGGCCTCCTCTAGGAGCTTCCGCCGTCCAATTCGATGCAAATAACTATCTATTAGATTTTTTAAATAAACTAAATGTTAAAGCCTAAGGCCCTAAAATATAAAATTCGGAAAAATTGTTATAATTCATTTATGGTTAAGAAATGATCATGAAAATTAAATTATTTTTATTGAAAATAATTCTTGTGTTCAAACCATCGCTACTATATCTTAAGTGACATTAGAAGATCCTACAAAGAACCAGATGTTTTAAAGAGTTGAAAGTTTCTGTGTTTTAGAAGTAAATACCAAGCAAGTATACTTTGGTCGTAAAAAAAAAAAGTATGACGATTATCAAGTTTTAAGATGTCGATTTCATGTTGAATCTGACCCTGTAAAGGATTAGAGTTGTTAAAACGGAAACCAATAGCATTAATAGATACTAAAATTATGTGAAATACAATTCCGAAAAACGTTTTCAGCCAATTGGTCTGTCTGTGTCACGATTACCTATCGTAGATGTGGTTCGATTTTATTGCGTCTTTATTTGGGTTTGTGGAGTTTCGGTTAACGATGCCTGTTGAACAAATGGAGCACTCTTTATTCAGAGAGAACAGCGTGTTTTTCTAAATACTTTAGCGACAAAACAGGTTTAGACAAAGTTAGCCTTCAGTATTCTATTTGAAACAGTTTTGTTTTATATAATGTGCTATATTCCCGAGGAAAAGCAATGTATTATATTTTCTACACGCTTTTCTTTCCTACAGCTTGGTAAGAGTGTTGTAATCGGGTCATACTTTCGATTTGATGTTTTCTACGGATCTTTATGTTTCAGAGCCTCCTAGGTTGGTTCATACAATAAATAAAAATTATTCAAACCGAACCAGTATTAGCAAAGAAAGATCGTGTTGAATTATATGCACTGATTAAAATTTCTCTGAAATCGGTAATTATATTTGTTTAAAGATGGTATGTGTGTGCTCAAAAATGAAAAAAGTACACACAATTATTTTCTTGCATGCTGACGATTCGTCCTTACGTTTAGATCTTCATCAGAGCTGCTTGTTTGAAATCTTTAAAAACAAGTACATTTAATAATAATAATAAGTTACAATAACTTTTATTGTAAAAATATTTCTTTGTTCATCATGAAAATATGGTGTTGAGCAGTTCATTTAAGTAGTATTAACCCTAAATAGCTTTAGTAGCTAATTTAATTTTTAGCATATATTATATATAAATTTAATTTTGCTACAGCCTCCTCAACCTCCTGCACAATGGAGTGGAATACGAAATGCTGGAAGTATGGGTTCCATTTGTATCCAATATACAGGCGCTTCTGGTTCTGAAGTAGTTGGAAATGAAGATTGTCTTTATTTGAACGTCTATACCCCTATTGTAAGTTCATAAAATTTAAAAGTTTAATTGAATATTTTTTACACTTTTCTTACGATGATTTTTTTATATTTTAATTTCAGTTGCCAGCGAATGGTAGAAATGTATCTTTGCCTGTCCTGGTATACATACATCCAGGAGCATTCATGATAGGAACTGGAAATGTTTTCGGACCAAGATATCTGTTGGATTACAACTTAGTCCTCGTAACTTTCAACTACCGACTTGGCATCCTTGGTAAAATTTACTATTATTATTAATTACTATCATTATTATCACTATGTATAATCAAAACATTGGAAAATCGCGAAATTTATTACCTGTTTAAAAACATGAAATGTGTTTTGCTGTAGGTTACTTGACCACTGAAGATTCCGTTGTTCCTGGTAACATGGGGCTCAAAGACCAAGTAGCTTTGCTGCGTTGGGTTCAACAAAATATACAAAGCTTTGGAGGAAACCCTCAAGAAGTAACTATTGCGGGAGCATCTTCCGGGGCAGATAGTGTTCAGCTTCATTATTTATCAAGAATGTCTCGAGGTGAACACCCAATCAACTGAAACATATAAATTATTGTATTATATATTCCTATTCTAAAAGTTGTTGGGCTATTTTAATTTCTAAATTAAATTTTAAAACGTCACGATAATGTTTAACACCTTTATTATATCGCTCAGGTCTTTTCAAAAGAGGAATCTGCCTGAGTGGAAGTTCCCTTATTCCCATAGGAATGATGAGAGCACCTATCTATAAAAATACAAGAGTTGCACAGGCTTTGAATTGTTCATACTCGTCAAGTAGAACTCTTGTGAACTGCTTTCGACGAATTCCAGCGGCTCAACTTGTACTTCAAGAGGGAATGTTCCAAGTATGTTATTTATTAATAAAATAAAACATCCTAAACATTATTAACGCCTTTTCTTTGCTCTGTCGAAAAAATAGACGATTCTATCAAAAGCGTTCTAAACGCTCTTCGACACTTATTTTAGATTTCTTTTTGGATTTGTGATATTGATTGAACGGTTTTTATGTGTTGGAAGTCAAAATTGGAATATTTCTTATTTAACCAAAATTAATTTCATTAAATGAATTAGACGAAGCAATATTCTTATTGTTTATAGCATAAACTTTACGCTTACGTGATCAGACTGGCTGTGTGATCGTATAATTAGGTTCATACTAAATGATTGATATTTTAATTTTTTAACTACACTTCTATTTCCAAAGTTGTGATAATGTATGAATTATATTATTTATTAATGATTTCAACTTTTTATTCTTCAACTATTAAATTGGAAGTATAAAATTAGCCCAATTGTATCTCCACCTCGCTGTCTCATTTGATTTTTATCTTTAATCGTGACAATTTTTTTTGAAAAATATTAAGAATATGTTGTTGCTAGTATAAACTGAAAAAAATTGTGTTACAACAAATATATTCCTTTAAATATCAAATATTTCTCTCCACTCTTTCTTCTGAATTGTTTACAACTCTGTTTCAGTATTTTTATTACACTCCTGTTCAAATATTTGGGCCTACGGTAGAGAGAGAAGGATCGCAACCATTTATCACTCGACTTCCATACGAAATATTGAGAACTGGTGATATCCAAGATGCTCCAATTCTTTTCAGTTCTGTTACACAAGAAGGCCTTGTTCCAGTTGCTTGTAAGTTCTAGTTTTATTAAAATAAATGTTGTTTTTTAATTAGAAGTTTTTATATGATCCTACAATGTATTTTCTTAACTACGAAATTTTCATTGTCTATATTTCTTTTATTATTTTCTTTTCTATTATAATAAGATCGAAAAATTTATAGAATGGTTTGCGGATTAATGTTATACTACTTAAACAAATGTTTGTTTTATGTCGATTGATGATATATTGAACTTATAGAACAGTTACTGAAAGCTGTCTTAAATATATAACGTTATCTATATTCTTACAGTTTTTATTACAAATACGACTGGCCTAAGTTATCTGAGTGAAAACTGGCTTGAAGTTTTTCCTTATCTTCTGGAGTATATTTACACTGTGACCTCCGAAAACAGGAACGCAACTACCACCAAGATTTATCAATACTACTTTGGCAGCCAATCTATATCTCTTGCTACTAATCAAACATTGATACAGGTTCAAATTCTCGAAAGATTATAAAAACTATAAGAGTGCCCATTGAAGAGAATTATTAAAGATAAATGAATTTTAATTACAGATGGTTGGAGATAGAGATTTTGTGGATGACATCGAAACTGCAGCACGTATTCAAGCATTTGTACAATCATCTCCTGTATATTTTTATCGGTTCTCATATAGGGGACAATACAGTGTAACTGATTTCATTACTGGTACCAACATAAATTTTGGTAATTATGGTTAAATTTTAATACATATAAAAATATGTTTATATCTTTTCTTATGTAATTCCATCTGACTTACTACAACTTGTTGCTTTATTTTCATAATCCTGTAGTTTTCTAGGTCCTCTAGAATCTTTGTATATCCATTTAGAGATTTAGGTGTCACTTGGGACAGTGTCAATTACTTATTCGTGACTGATTAAAAATATTTTTTACGAATATTTTAGGAGTCGCTCATACTGATGACACCTTATATCTGTCTAATAATCCTAATTTCCCACCATCGGAAAATACTCCGAGCGATAGAGCGATGATAACTATCATGTCTGGTCTTTGGGCAAGTTTTGTCACACAAGGGTAAGAATAAATCAGATTTTCGTGATTGGTTATGTGTGATCACTGATTTGTGGTTTTATTTATTTATGTTTTTTTTAGAATACCTAGAGCAGGGGAGTACACCAACTGGCAACCAATCAACAGAAAAAGTGCTATGACAGGTCCTCTCAACTACTTGATGATAGCTTCTCCATCTTCAATTTCTTTGAACCAAACTTTGGCTTTTGGTCATCCTCAATTTTGGGACAATCTTCCTTTAAATGAGCCCGGAAGCGGCCGTCCTACCTATTCCCTTCGAAAATGAATCATTCAAGAAATTTTATAAATCCACATTTGAACTGTAATCTTTACTATATCCAAGCATTAAAAAAAATTAACCAGGATAATTAAGTTCCTGTCATCTTTTTCTGTATATTATATAATTAGGATATTTTTATTTTTGGTTAAAATAGTATTCTTCCATTAAATAAAAGTGTTTTAATATTTCGAGTGGTTTTCTAGATTCAGTTATTATTTTATACCAACCTTAAGCATCAATAATATTTTCATTTCATTAAGAAAGCTGAAATAAAAAATGAAAATATCTATGCAGTCAAGTTATTCATACTAAAGGTTCATTACAAATTTTCATTAATTTTTAAACAATTATAAAAGAATAATTATTATTATAATTGTAAGATAATTATTATATTAATATAATTACATTATGATTTTAATATAATTATTATAATACAAATTTTAATGAAGTATTAGGTATATGCGATATGGTAAGGTATGCTTGATCATAAAATATTACATCTTGTTTCGAAATATCATGAATTGAAAAAAAAAAAAAAAAAAAAAAAGGCTATTTCAATATCGAAATGTATAGTTTTAATCACTATTAACATCAGAGCTATTGAAGTGATAGTGAATTTGGAATAACAGTAAATTTCATGAATTCAAGAAATCCACAAGGAATACATCACTTCTAAAAAATATATAACTGCAGTAGTATTCTATGTGACATGAACTCCTGATATATTTGAGTGATAGATAATTAACTTTAATGCAGCATATCATGGTATTTGTCTTATAATTCCTGAATAAAGTGAATAACGTTTCGATCTTTAGTGTTCATGATTGTTAAATTTCTAAATAAATAATTAAATAACATAAATAAATATCAGTAAACTAATATGGGTCTAAGTGCACATCGGTGTAAGAAGACTATATATCTATGTATATAAGTACCTTTCGAATTTATTTTTACGAAAGAGCAACATTGTTATGGTAATTATTGTGGATAGAGCTCTAAAGCACCATAACGGCACAGGCACACAAATCGCACTCCCAATCGGACAAATAGAGCAGATCTAGTCTGTCGCGATCAGATATCGTAAAGCCTTCTACACACAGAATGCTATATGTCCCGGCTGTACGATATCCCTTTGTCTGTATCGCTAAGGATTGCAGCGCTTGTTATTGTGCAATAGATAGTAATATAACTTCATCGCCATATCCACACCGAAAGGATTGTCGTATCGCTGAGACATATCGCATTCTCTGTGTAGAAGCCTTTGATCACGGTAACAGACGGTGTTTTGTGTGCACCTAAGCCAATGGCTCTGGTCCAATTAAATCAAGCTAAGCCAACTTTTTATTTTATTTCTCTTGTTACCGAGAGCATATGGAAAAAAAGAAACACAATCACTAACATAAGGGAAAAAATCAAGTTTTAAAATTAATTGAAAAAATTTTAGAATTTTAATTAGTTAAAAAATCTATACTTATGAGATAAGTGGATATATATATTAAACTTTTGACAGAATGCTCCTCAAATATTATCCATCTGACAGATCAGAAATTGTGGATATTGCTTTGCAAATCAATAGATTTTGGCCTTTCCATTAAACATAGTGTTGATAGTCGTACGAATAAACCAATTCCTTTCTAATTTGCATGTGCATAACGCGCATACTTCTTCATGATTCCTTAAAAAATACAAAACGTAATAATATATATTCGGCCTTAAAGAGAAAATGATAAGTAATACCTAACGAATATAAGGCGTTGATGATCTAGAGGTTTTACTCCTGTAAACAACAACAAATAAACAAAATAACAAAATAAATGGGTTGTTTATTTTTTTTCTTCAAGATTTTAATCAAAATCTTATTTTGTCAAAGTTTTGTTTAATAATTATTTATATGGTAAGATGGCAACTTAATGATGCACTGGAATTATTACCACTGGCCCAGATTAAACTCCTGAGGATGAAAATTACGAATTCTATACGTGATTTCGACCATAAACCTAGAAACAATACTTCCCAACAAAGAACCGTATCTTGGATCTTTCAAGAGTTGTGTTAACCACCCCTTTTTCTTAATTTGAATATTTCTGGCAACATATCATGGTTTTATCAATTGAATTCATCATGTTTTCCAATACCAGCTGAAAATTAAGTCGAATAATAACTTGTTTGTAGTTAAATTTGAGGGAGAGGAAAAAAGTGCTAGCGGTACGAAATCAATGACATATAAAAAAAAATCATGTAATGTTGGCGAGAGTTATAAAAATTAATTGATTATTTATCTTCTATGTTCGATTTACAGCTAACCTATCTGGATCAATTTGAAGCTCTTTGTATTTAAGCTCAACGAGTCATTACTGATTCTATCAGTCCAATTCTGCAATAACATTGTCATTGAAATGGCGTCTGTATTGGAAGAAGTTGTTACACTTCATAAAAACTTAAAATCAGAGTGGACTAGTAAACCTCCAAACCTAGAAGCATGCGGAAAATTATTGGATAGTTTA